TATATTTTTATATATTATAGAAATTAAATGTAAATTTAATTTTTCCCAATCAGATATAATAATTAAATGTTGTTATTTGATTAATTACTTCAAGTAATTAATATATGAAACGATAACGATTACTGGGAAGAAATTAAAATATAAATTATAGAAAATAGGCAAAATATAATTCTTCATCTATTTTTGCAGATAGAGGGAAAAAAAATGAAAAAATAAATGAAAAAGAGAGAAAAGTTGAAAATAGAAGAAATTAGATTAGAAAATTAAGCGAAAAAAGCATACAAGTAAAAGGAGATAAGAATAACAACTAAATTAATAGCAAAATTGTTGAATAAATAATTATTTACTTATGGGTGGAGATAATTATTTTCTTATTAATAGAAGAAAATAATTAGAATTTTTTTTGGTAATAAAAATTAGTTTCCTTCTCAGTTTCTCATATTTTCTTTAGATCAGAAAAATTATTGCAAAAGTATATTTTTTAGTTGCGAAAAATCATTTTTTTTCCCGTTTTGTTTTATCGAATGGTAAAAAATGTTTTTTTTAATGACAAATGAAGCATTTTATGGAGGCAAATATGAGATATATAGTGGATGAAATTTAAAGATGGCGCTCGAATGAATGCAATTTTTCCGTCGGAACTAGTTTTCCAAGAGAATTTCAAGTACATTTATGTAAGGCTATATACGTATAGTTCTTTATGCCGTATCTATATATGTTTATATACTGCGGCTTGTAGTAGATTTATGATAATTATCGATCACTAAATGAGAAGTTCTCTTGCGGGTATGACCTCGTAAGTAAGGCAAAATATAAAGCTTTATATGCAGGTAGTACTGTATAGTACATATTCGCCTTAGGCATGCTGACGACGATTACTATACATTTAGTTTGCAATCGTCAGGGTGTCTGTTTATAATACACCATAGGAATTCATGCCCTCTAGGAGACAGATTGCCTCTTCACCGCCTCGTTTCCTCCAATGAGATCACAATAATTCCTCTCTAGCGTAATTTCACTTTCTCAAATCAAAATTCTCATCTCAATTAAAAATTCAAATTAACAACAAACTTACATTATTTTTTTATTTAATTTTTGTTGTTTTCGATCATTTTTAATTTACATTATAGCTTCAATGAATCTCTAAAGAATATATGAAAATTTAATAATTTTTAATTAAATTTAGATTTAATAATTGATTATATATAGTTAATAGTTAGTTTATAAGTTATAGTTAATTTAATTAATTAATTGTAGTTCAAAAATATAAATCTGTTTTCCATTTGACGATGTTTCCAATTTATGAACATTTTAATTAACCTACTGTTCTCAAAATGGTATTTTCAAATATATATATAATTAATGATATATGTTTCTGAAGGCAAGAATTTTTTTTTTCAACTGGAATTTTCACACCGATTTTTTTTATATAAAAAAGAAACTGAACTACATCATTGAAGTTTATTTACAATATGTGAAGTTTCTCTTTTTAATTAATTTTTTTTTTTGTAATTGTTTTAGTTTAAAAATGTAATGAACCTGATTTTAAAACACTTTCTTTTCTCTCTTAACATGTTTTGAGTATTTATTAGAAACTTGAATCATTTCTTCCATATACTTTGTTGAACTAATAAGATTTAATTCCCGTTTAAGGCTGTGTCATATTTGTTATATAAAAACATGTTTTTTTCTTTTCTTTTATTTCCTAAGAAAAAGATGCTTGAATAACATTTCACTGCAAAGATTTATTGTAGGTGTAATATAGATGTTTGTTGCTGAACTGTTAATATAATGAACGCACAAAACTTTCTCTGTCACTCTCTGATTTTTAGAAAAAAAAAAGGAAATGAAAAAATTCGCATATTTTTTTTTTATAAAAATGTATAATAATATCCAGAGTAGGAAAATAAATTGATCACTGTATAGTTTATTGATGTTGTAATAATTATGGACTAATAAATTACAATTGCCTATTAGTATAGTTTACTATAGTGGATCGTAAACTTTATCAAAGTGTTTATACTTCTTCCATGAATTAGATTCTAGAGCATCTTGCTTTTTTTTCTTTTCTGTATATAATCAACATTATTTATTGATTCTTTCGTTTGTACTTTAATTAATATAATAGCTCTCAAGTTACAGAAGTTATAGCAAGAGTTAAGCGAACTGAAACCGATTACTTTATTAACAACTTTTGACGTGGTGGACACGTATATTTTATTATTTCAGAAGTCTGTAATTTTCTCATTACAAAAATTTCTGGCTTTATTAATTTTACTTCCTCAAAAAGGAAGCTTTGTGTTTTAAATTAATTTTTATAAAAACTTGATTGTTTTTTACCATTTTATTATTTCTTTTTTAATTAAATAATTGTTTATTATTTAGTAAATATTAATGGGCAAATTTTTAAAGAGAAATTATAATCGAAAAATTCTGAAAAATAAAATATTTTTCTTAATTATCAACGGAGGGGGTGTGTCTTAATGTTCTCATTATAATGTGACAATGTTGGGATGAAAATTACATATATACGAATGATAAGAGAAACGAGAAATTGAAACCCATCGATTTATAATGGTCGTTTATCATATATCGCAACTTCAAAGATAACGGACGTCATTATTCAGTGACGCATGCAATTCATTTAAAATAATATGCTTTTTAGTAAATCTCAATTGAACCATAAACTTCCAATGATGCTTATTATACTCATATTGTATATATATATATATATATATATATATATATATGGACAGCACATGTTACAAAATCTGAATTACGAAAGCTCGGATAATCTCTAAGATATATATATATATATACAGCATCCAATAATATATATTAGTACACACAGAGAGGGAGAAAGAAGATTTCTACGTCTCAATCGGAATATTGTTGTGAACCATTATCTACCAATGGACAATCTTAAATTGTTTTCAAACGTGGTACCATTCATATCTAATATCTCCTTTTTTTAATTCTCTTCATATTTATGATCACGGATAAACGACTGTTTTGAATGCCAAGTGTTAATTACATTTCATCCACAATGTTTGCTTTTAATCGCTTGTAATGAATATATATGTGTTTGCGATCAATATACAAAATTGTATTAATATATCAAGTTTTTGTTATTTTTTAAAATATAATTTTTTTTACATAATTATTATAAATTTGTATTAATTATTATTACTATAATTTAGTTAATTTATGATTTTTAATATCGGCAAAAATATTATATTAGTAATTTTATAAAATAATAATAATATATAATTAAAATTAATTTATTTATTTATTTGTCAATATATAATTAGTGTTTCTTAAAAAATATTTACAATTTTAATTTATATTCTGATTATGTATACAACAAATAATTATGTATAGTTAATATTCGTCAGGTTGAAAGTAATCAGGAGGATTATTGAATTTAATTAAATAATTTCATCACGTGCCATCATCGCTACGTGTGAATTAAGAAGAGTTCAAATGACTATATAGATTATATGATGAAGGTATAAATATGATTTTTTCTGTGAAAGTATATATAAAAGATATTTATAATTAGAATAATCTGTAATTTTCAATTAATTTGTAAAATATTGAATAAATTAAAATTTCGATTGATTATGTTAAAAATAAGCCTTAAAAAGTTATATAATTTAAAAGTAAAACAAGTTGAAAGAACCTTATGCAATTATACAAAACTAATATGATAACAAATTACATTGTGTTGTTATTGATTATAAGCACTAACTGCGATAAGGATGCAAAATATTTTTTGTACATTAAATAACGTGCACTTCATTTATAATTTATGAAGAAAAGAGTAAAATGTTTACGTTTCAGAATTATCATGTTCAATTATCGTATATAATAATATATACACTTTGAATGATTTGGTCGAAATTATTTTTAAATTAAAATTGTCGGTTATTGTTCCAAACGGAAGATAAAACTATTCTGTCTTTTATATTTATCGATAAATTTTCTCATATTGGAATTTTTGTAATGTGACAATATGAGCATTAGATGAAATAAAAACAAATAAAAATTTATATTACTAATTTTTAGTTCTGTGACACGGTATAATTAAATTAATAATATAATTTAATAAATTATTTTTCATATAAAAATTAATCTAATGAAAATTAATTGGCGGATCATTTATGTGCCATAAGCCAATTGTGGTAATGATCTCTAATAACATCATTAATAACCAGTTCCCCTGATGTCATCTATATCAATATAATATTTCCGACTCGAAATTAAAAACACATCAAAGAGAATCTTCTTGATTAAAGATAATCTTATCTCATCAACAAAACGTATACATATCCATTAAATACCGTGTTTTAATTCCAAATTTCCACCTTCATTTCATTAAAGAAGTTTCATTATTAATTGTTCTGGTCAATAACTGTATTCTACATATATTATTGGGAACTTGTTCAAAATTTAAATGAGAAATTCTTATTCAACAGAAGAGTATATCTTGTTCAACAGATAAAAATGTAATATCCTTAATCATTAAAACATATTCAAGAATTCCATATTCTTCTGTTCAATAGAATTTTTTAATGTCCTTCAACTTAAGAATTTCTCATATTTCTAATTAAGGTGGAATTTTGCAATTCCTGATGTTCAATCTAAAAATTTATTTTCAAACCAAAGAAACATTCCTAAAGATATATGGATGGAAAAAAGTTCTACCTAATAGAAAGTTTTGTTACATTTTCCGCAAAAAATAATTCCGAAACCTTTTTTTAAATAATTCATCACCATATGGGATTGTTGAGTTTGGTTATAAGTTTTCAGGAGGTAAATCCGGTTCAGCAAAAAATATAATATGCAATAGTGAAAATTATCCAAATGGATTTAAGGATTCTTAAGCACATTACAAATCTTTTCTTCATAGTTTTCATTTTGTTTATAATATAGTCTTGTAAGCTTCCGTTTTCAATTGTTAAAATTAAATAAACATATATAATGAATAAGAAACTCACCTCCAGGAAATCGATGAGGAAAGAACCTTCCATGACCATGTCTTGATGTGATCCATGGAAAAAGAGTATAGCTATCGCGAGGTGGTTGATGTGGATGAGGTGGAGGATGTGGTCCACCTGGCGCCCCACCATGGGGATAAGGTCCATGAGGTGGTCCATGAGGTGAAGCACCATGATGCGCCTGAAGAGCAACAGCTAGATTTGCAGCATGAAAATTTTGTGCAGCAAGATTTGCAGCAGCAAATGCTAAATGTTGCGATTGATATTCATTTTGACCGGTTTGTGGACCAGTGGGACCATGTCCTGATAATCCATAGAGAGATTTAATTTGTTCAGCGGCAACAGCAGCAACGGCTGCAGCACTGGGTGGTGGTTGAAGGTAATTTGGACTAGGTCGAACAACACCCGGAGGTGGTGGAGGATGATTACCAACGGGAGAATCACTGTGTGATATCCTGTGTGGTGGACTGGGACTATTATTGGGTGTGGAACCTCCACTGTGACTGTGCGTTGTATTTCTACTGTAATCCAAATGATTGGCAAGAGTTAAGTGATGATGATGATGGTGGTGGTGAAGATGATGATTGTTGTGCGAAGGTGTCCGTCGGGAATTGGGATAGGACTCTACTGATGAACTTCTTGAAACGGGCCTATCGGACTCTTCGGAATGAGCGCCTGGTGATCTTGCGTTGAGTCGACGATTCCTTGGGGACGAGGAACCCTCAACAACATCCATTGGACTTCCATCTCTTTCGATTTCAACTCGTTCTAATCGGTCAAGACGATCATCCCGACCACCGCCAACGATCGAGTCAATGCTGAAGCCGATCTTGGGCTTGGAGGGCATAGGGACGATTGGCGTCGGCGCGAGCGGCATCATTGTAAGTGGCGCAACGCCCAGGCTCTGCCAAATAGACTCTTTCTCGAGAATTTTGAATTTTTTTTATAAACGGTGATGTCTTAAGTCTCCTGCATCTTGATGCAATTCAATTGCAATAGCTATTGAGATTTGTCATTAACACTTTTGTTTTTATCAAAGAGTCAATGATATCAGAATGAATATACCGGACACGAGTCCGTCGCTTTACCAGATGGAGGAAGACATTACCGGATTTTGTAAACACTGATCACTCAATCCCTTATCAGTTGTGTCTATTTTTATACCATTTCTTGCTGATAATTTTTCGGCACACTGCGTCACATTGTCATTATCTTAAGATGCTTTTTTTATCACTACAGCACACTTGTTTATTTTCAATTCACTTTTTGGTCCTGGTCCCAAACAGTTTAATCCTGATTTTAATTATATATATATATATATGGACTCTTGATTAGAGAACTCCCAGTGATTAAGCACACACTAAAACTTACACGATAAACTCACTCGTGACATGAAAACTAAAAAAAAACTCACACGGTCCACTCGTCACTCTTCGGGGACAAAAAAAACAAGAATGGGAAACGCGCAGCGAGGTGATACGAGCTCCGCTCTAAGGTCGATCCGATGCTTCTGGCCTGAGAGCTTGGTTGTGTTTGAGAAAATTACCGGCTAAACGAGTGTTGGAACCGGCTTGGTGGGGGAGTACAACTCCCCTCTCCCCTCTCCCTTTGGATGTCCTGACAACAGATGTTGGAGGGGCTGATCAACCTAAATGTGGGCGTGTTTTGTGGTGTTAAATGTCCAATGGGCGGGTACATGAATTCTTCTGATTGGTTCGTGTATAACAGAATACTGGTTTCTTCCCCTTGGTACTGGACCTTAAACAAACCAGAAGGGGAATCGCATTAGTTGGCGATGGGCGTTAAACTCACGTTTTTGTCGTGCGATGAAAATGAGTCGTTTAATTAATACGTCTGGACTTTGGAGTGTTTCTCGTCGCTGGGGAGATGATGGACGATTAAAGGGGGGAAAAGTGGGGAGGATGTCTAAGAGTGGGATCGAGAGGATTTTCATCTGGCTGGATGCTGTGCAGAGAGGACTTCTATTGTGTGCAGCTTGGGTTTCCATTTCTTTATGATGTCTCACTCTCATCATGATTATAAGTGGCTTCATTTGAATCTTTATTATTCAAGATGGATGACTATAATATTTAAAAGGAATGATTGAGGTGTTTTTTTTATGTGCTAAAACTAAAATCATTAATTTTTCATGTTTTCTAAAAATAATTGAAAGATAATATAATATTGTATAAAAAAGAAGTATCTTATTTTAAGATGTTTTAGTAGCGTTTTTAAGACATTAAGATGTCTTCATGTCTTGAAAACGCTACCAAAATATCTTAAAATAAGATACCTCTTTTTGCAGTGTTTTATAATACAATATTATTTTTTGAATACTTTGATTAAAATTTAGAATAAACATGATATATAATTGTATTTAAACTGAATTACTGTAATAATGAAGTTTTAAAAAATTGTTTTTCGAAAGGAAAATGGTATTTGTGTTTAAAGTATTATAATAAAACAAACAGAAAATCCTGAAGGTTTGACCCGCATATTTCTTTTTTCCTTTCAAATGTATGGCTATAATTACAGCAGAAGCAAATGGCACTTTGTTTGACATGCGAGTGTAAGTCGATTGGTATAATTTCTAGTTTAAACGTCAATCCTTATACTGTAATATATATATATAGCAAACGCTCTCTTTCAATTCTCTTCACAATGTCTGCATGCGGATGCTGTATAACGTAATCTGAAATTACGGTGTTAATAGTCTATAATGAGGGGATACATTTAAGAGAAGATTATTCCATGCAATTCCGCGTCTTTTTGCAGAAAACTACTTTGTATATACCGTTATAATTTTATTTGAGAAGAATTTCCATATTCCTTTCATGCAAATATTTTTTGTTACTCACATCGTTACTTATAAAGTAATACAATAAACAAATAATAACTAAGTAAATAATTGTAACGAAAGTTTGACGAAAAAATAAAATAAAGAGGAAAATTAATTTTTTAAAGAGTGTAAATTTTCATACCTCTGCTTATATACCTATATATATATATATATAGTACATAGTAAAATTGATGGATTTGCTAATGCAGAGAGGAAATATGTATCGAGTGGGTAATTCGCTATGATCGAAATTGTATTGTAAATTCTGTATCGTGAGTAGAATGAGTATATGAGCATTGCAGATATACTGTATGGGTGTTCGTAATGCAGGGTTCGATTTTGAAAATTACTGCTTTCTGCAGGGAATACCTCGTCGACGCCCTACTGCTTCGCTTTACGATGATCCATGAGATCCCACGATAGTTTGCTGTTGGGGATATGGGGGAGCAATTCAAACCAGTCGATTACTCTTCAGCGTGATGCGATTCTCGTCACGGAGGCACAAAGCTCATCAAAAAAAAAAAAAAAAAAAAAAAAAATACTTGCTTCCTCTCGAAACAATGATTTTTCGATTCACCAGCTGTAAATCATAAATCCCTACCGCTTTTCCCTTCACATATTCTATTTAAATTGGCAAATTGCTTGGGTAAAATTTAATCAACTCTGTTTTACAAACATCCATCAGTTTTTTTCCGCATTGCTATATATTGAATTGTTTTTATTAATGAAAAACTTCTTTTGTTATCAAATTTTTAATTAAATTAATTTTAATTAATAAATTATTTAAGAGTATATATATATATACACGGAAAAAATTAATTCAGTAGATTTTACAGAACTATCACGGAGTAGCGGATACACCTCTTTACGAAACTGAGTGTTGTAAAATGTCACTAAATATTCAGGATAAACTTCAGAAATATTCAGTGTAAACAATGAAATTTCTGTAGTTTATCCGAAAATATCCATCACATTTTACAAAACTCTGTTTCGTAAAGAGCTGATGTATCCGCTACTCCGTCACAGTTTTGTAAAATATACTGAATTAATTTTTTCCGTGTACGTATACAAATAGAAAATCCCTAATAAATCCCTACATTGTTAAAAAGTAATACTTGCAACCAATAAATTGAACTATTATCCCCTTTAAATCATTTCTTGTATAAAATTTGTTGTCTTATAATGATTAATATATATATATATACAGGAGCGGGATATATATGATTTTTCGTATAACTTATATAATATCGGGAGCAATTTAATGTCGTCGTTTGATTATAAATGAGCTCTAATCGGTTTCAACTTCAGCATAAGTATGGTAAATGATATAATCGAACCATAACTAAACTATATTATATGTTTATATATAAGAAGTGTTTAACGCTGGTCGATCAGACGCGTTCACACTTGAGTGGCTTTTCTCCCGCAGCGGTGCGTGCTCCTTGGACTCTAATTGCCGAGGATCAACACACTGCGAAACTACTTATTTCAGTCGATCGTGAGTGAAACAAACAAACAACTATTAAGAACGTTATTATGCATATTAAGCACTCTTTTAATCTACATTTATCCATAAATATTCATTGCACGCTTTCATTGCAACCTCTCCGGCCATCAGTTATCGAACTATATACATAATATCAATATCAACAAAATAATAGTTATTAGCCACATTCCTGGATATGTGCTTTTCTATTTTACAGTTATATATGTATACACCATTCAAAAGAGTTGTTATATATCTTCATGATATATGTATAATATGTTTCTCTGCATTTTGTGAAACAGATAATTAATCGTAAAATTATAAAATGATTTTTTATGAACTATATTCAAATATACTAAATTTTGTATGACAATTAAAATCGAAATCGGATACATTGGGCTTGAAGAATTGTGCCTTAAGCACCTCAGCCGTTGAAGACGCATAGATATGAACCCTCTACAAAGTTTACGATCTCACTTCTCAATGAAATGAACTTAACTTAGAAAAACTCCTATAACTTTTATCTTCAGCATTTTCTAAGTCCAAGTTGAACTTAGAAAATAACATTATCTATTTATGAAAATTTTTCTATTTTCAAAATTTGAAAAAAAGACGTCTTTATAAGACATCTTAAAGAAATCTAATGGCCAAGACATAGAACATTCTTAGTACTTTTGAACAAGTGGATTTGTTGAACATTGTTCTACACTTGCTGTACAGAATTTATTTCCTAACTTTAAAATTTAACCGAGAGGGCAACTTATAACATTGAAAGAATGTTAAGTTTCCACTTTAACGTGACCATACTTTGAATATTAAGATTATCTAAATTGCGAGATTTGAACAAGTATTATAGATAATAATTGAGGGAAATAATAAAAAGTGAGATTAAGGGACGATAGAGGAAAAATTCGAGACGCGTGTATTGTCACGTGTGTAGGTGTTTGACACGTGCGAAAAGAGGGGATACAAACATGGCGACTGTGCACACATCAGGTTAACCGGTGCACCAATGCGTGAGCACCAGGCAAGCCCGACCTTTCTTATTTCTCTCTTCTTACTCTTCCTTCCCCTTTACACACCACCTTATTCATATACGAGATATATATATATATATATATATATATATATATATGTATGTACAAAAACATACATTGCAGTAGCTTCAAGAAGTCAAAACCAAGATCCGATTGAGTTCCCTTTTCACGCGCTTTTAACAATATAATTCAAAACACAAGAACTCGCTCTTCATATACACGTATATATATTTTCTCTTGACGAACAAGTCTCCATCAGTAGGGAGAACAGTGGAAAAAAAAACGTTATCGGTGAAAAAATGGACCAAAAAAAAGTGATGAAAAAAATTCTTGAAGACGAGATCCGTTGAAGGTTGTAGCGCAAGCGAGAGAAGCCCCGAAACCGTCAAAATCGTTAGTTGCACATTGTCGAGTAGGAGAGATATGAAGAGGCGAAAAAAACGAACAATAAGAAGCAAAAAAAAAATCGCATTCAGGTTACTCTGTGTATTCCCACAATAGAATTGTCATTGTGTCATTTATTGTTTGAATCCTTTCAGATCTCAAAAACTCGACGAGTGCAAAGGATAATAATTTAGTCCTGGAGGCGAAGAGTCAAATTGGTCCACGACTATTCATGTCAAACAGGTCAAGGAGTCTCTCGTTTTGTCGATTCACCTCGTAGTTGCGGCTTTTCATATAACGGATTTCATATATATATACACTTTTCGAAAATCTGAAATCCAATTCCATAACGACTTTCTTCTGTTATTTGCTTATTTATATATGAAAAGAAGTATATGTACCTCCTGTAGTTTCTGAACTTTATCATCGTTGAAACGTTCCTGATTGCATTTCCGCATTTTTGAGACCACACACACACAAGTACAAATTGGAATGATATTCAAGATAATATTGAGTTATACTACAATTTTAATACCAAAATTTTCATATTAAATTTTCATCTGCTTATAAATTAATTATATTTACTGCGATTACGAGGAATGATTAACTTACTCACCGTGCGAACTAATATAGATTTAATCAGGAGTTGATCAATAAATCATCTTATCAGCTAATTTTTTTTTTTTTTTGAACAATTTATTGATAAGAACAATGGGGAGGAAATTAAGGCATACAATTAACCTATATTTTCTGTTGCAGGATTAACTAATGAAAATTATGAATAAAAAAAGAGAGAAACGTT